AAATCTAAAATCAAAAATATTTATGCATTTATGTTTACATATATATCTCAGCTTCCACTAATTCAAATTAAATGAAAATTTAATATAATATAGATTGAGATTATATCAAGATTATATTAAAATTTGAACTAATTCTGATTGGTGCATCTTGAGTTATACGATGTCAAACATGGTGTTCGGAGACTTTTGGCTGCCCTTTGTACATTGAATGATTGTCTATTTGAACAAACAGTTGTGCTGACCCCCTCAATGTACTTGGCGAATGGTACGATGAAAGGTAGATCTATGTATAAAAATAATCAAGATGATTTCAAAGAATTTGTCTGACAACAATTCACTGCACTTAATGATAACCTCTGCTATTTAGTAAAATCACTTGATTTCACTGTGCAATGTGTGGCTGCTATTGAGAAATTAATGAACATTAAAGTAGTTACTCCTTAAGAGGCAGATGCTAAGAACCTTGAAAGAGAAGATGTGGAAAGCATAACTTGTAATGAAATCGAACCTAAGATTGACACATCATCCTCTATTATTGTGCAATAACGAAAAACAATTGAGAGATTGAAGAGCGTTAATCAGATGCATCAGAATCGCCTTAAATCCTTTACAATGACGGTCAACACTTTAGTTAAATCTTGTGTAGCATTTCAATCCATTCTTGTACAGAACAAATTGTTACCTAAGGAACTTGCCAATAATATATTCCCTCTAGGATATGCTTTCGACAGTGATGTTGATCAGTATCTCAAGGATCTTCCACAATTTTAATATTTTAATATGAACACTATCATTACTGATGTTCCTACACAAGCTGCATATAATAATAATTTTTCTTCTCCCTCACATACCCCTCTCATATTTCATTTGCCACTCACAATGTCAGATCGTTCACTAACATTGCCAAACAAACTTCTGTAGTTGAATTGTATTCTTCACTCAATTTAGATATTATTGGGTTACAAGAGACAAACTTTTCTTCCTTTTCGACACATAATTTTAACTGCATGTTCGCATCCAAATTCACTGTTTCTTTGGTTCAATCTCTGATTCTCAACTGCAGAAATCTGGTTTGAGTGTGAATCTTTTACTTCATTCGCACCTAGCGAATCACATTTTTCACTATGAAACTAAGCATAATCATATCATTCTCGTAGATCTACAATTTGCCAATAAACAAAAATTAAGAATAATTAATTGTTATCCTCCACCTGGCAATTATACTATCAGAAAGCAGATACAAGTAGACCTCTTAAAATATATTCAAGAGGCATATGCGAATAATTATCATATGGTACTTCTAGAGGACCTTAATGTAGACATTGACAATCCTAAGTTGCATTCTCAAGACAAAAGATTCTTTGCTAGTTTGAATAACCTCAATTTGTTTGACACTTTTACAGTCAAATATGATACACAAAGATCAGATTATCCCACACATCAAGGTCTAATATCATCTTCTCAAATAGATTATGTCTGGTCTTCAGTTAATGTCATCTCAAACTTCGTAGGTTGTAAGACAGTTCAACTAGCATCCACTTTAACTGATCACTCCATAATCATCCTTTATGTCGAAAACTTCTTGAAGGTTAAATATAATAAATGGAATATTCCTTTAAAAAAGGTCTACGACTATAACAAAATGATCAAGGATAAATGGTTAGCCTTCACAAATAAAACAGACGCATTAAATAATGGTTGCTATTTACGTTCTCTCAACAATAAGACAGTATTTAATCAAAACAAGTTAAACTAAGTTTGGGATCTCTTACAAGAGTGTATTATTATGACTGCTGATGCTACAATTCCCTCCCACCAATCAAAAGGACACCATACCATAAAGCAACTTCCTCTTCTGTCAAAATTATACAAAGACCTAAAGCTGCTTTATAAGCTGAAGAGATGGATAAAGAAAATGGTGGTTACATCCAATCTTCTCATACAATGGTCTACTTCAATTGACAAATTCTACACAATTATGCATGACTTTGGCATAAGATGTATTAGGCTTCCTCCTAATCCTACGGCTATCATCGCAAAATCAATTTGTTCTGATATAGATCTGCTACTGGGCTGCATTCTTGTAAAATTAAAATTACACGAACATGATTTTAAACTTAAATCTATTCAACTCGCCATTGAAAGAAGATTGGAAAATTATAATATTTTACCTGCACATATGACAGATTCTCTTATGGATCACTCTAAATGAACAATTGTTATTGATAGATATATTAATAATGCTTTACTATTACGTGATCTCTTGACTAATAAAAATGAGGTAAAAAAGAAAGTAGCTAGACATTTTCAAATAGCAGCTGGTACCTCTCATGAGAATGTACATATGGACGAGAAGTGACTCCTGTTCTATCAACCATTGGAAGATATTCACAGCTCTATATACGATGACTTGATGTCTCTACTATCAGCAGACGAATAGTATAATATTATTGCTCAACTTCCTAATGGTGAAGCTCCTGGACTATCTAAGATGTCCAATGAAATGCTCAAACATCTTGGCCCCTTGGCTAGAAAATCGCTCTGATATATTATTTGTGGTTGCTTAGAATTATCTTCACTTCTATACAGATGGAATCATGCTTTTGTTTACCTGATTCCCAAGCCTAAACTATAAGAATATGACTTGAATAACACCAGACCTATAACTTTGTTAGAATGTCTATGAAAAGCTCTCATTAAACTCTTAAATCGTTAACTTTTCAATATTTTGATTAGAAATAATATCTTTAAAGGTCTCAATTTCGCCAGCCTACCATTTAAATCCACTTTTGAACCCTTACATATAATCGACAACATCAAATACGATGCATCACACAATCAAAAAGACTTATGGATTTTATTACAAGATATGTCCAAAGCCTATGATCAGGTCAATATATTTATGCTTATTAAAGCATTGAAACGGTTGCACATTCCATTCAATTTTCTTAGATTTGTCCTTAAAATATTTGGAAATCGCCACAATCAGATCTTTACACTTTTTGGCAACACTGATACACTGATTCCTACAAAGTTATTTCTGGTATTGATCAGGGAGAGATCATTTTACCTTTATTATGGTGTATTTATTATGACCCTTTACTTTGTCATGTACAGAACTCAACGCTCGGCTATTCTTCTTCACTTACATGGAAACCCAATATTTTAGGAAATGAAACAGAATCAATCTCTCTTAAAATCTCAGCCCTTGTCTACATAGATGATACTCTCTAAATCACAAAATCACGTGAGAACCTTACCAGTATTATCACCATCGCTGATAGTTTTTACCAGCTCAATCAAATTAAAGTAAACTGGAAGAAATCAGTCCTTATGATAAATAATAATAAATATAATCAACCTTTCACATGTGATATACATGTAGATGGTAACTACACTAATATTATTCCACTACCTCTTAATGATTCCACTCAATACCTAGATGTGTGGATTTTGTTGAGCAAAAATAAGACCTTCACTATTAATCTACTTAAAAAAGAAATCAAAAACGCGTTAACTATCATGTCTAAAAAGAAAATGACAGACAAACAATTGGTGTATATATTTAACACTATTCTTATATCATGAATTGAATATCGTGCTCAATTAACTGCACTCATATCGGCTCAATGTGATACTCTTAGTTCAACCTATAAAGTATTTATGAAGAGTAAATTGCATCTTTCATAAAGTACACCATCATCGATATTCCACTCTAATTACTTTTACAACCTCATGGATCTTCAACATCACCTTCTCACTGCTTATAGTGAAGCGTTACATTTTTCTCTTAATGATCACAATTTACTTGGTGAATCCACAAGATTGTGTGTTAGACAACTTCAACAAAAAGAATGGCTGCATGTTTCTCCATTGATCAATTGGCCATATCTGTCACATAAATCAAATAATTGGATTGCTAATCTACTTTGCAACTGAAAGCGGCTCAATATCACTCTTCAGCTTCCTGATTCAGACCATTTTATTATTAAAGGTGGTTCAACTCCTCTCTCCTCAGTTTTGCTACCTTATGAATATAAGGCTCTCTCTTTGAACTTGAAAAAATACTCCTTGCTATTTGTTGAACAGTTGGTCTTTTCAGCTGGCAAGATCATGTTAACTTTTTACGATCTAAATATATTACCAGGATTTCTTCCAACATAGCACATTCCATGTTGGTTTTTAACCCTCCAAGATAGATTATTATTAAACAATCAGGATAGAAGCATACAAGCTTCCTATTCACATTCGAACAACTGTACATACGATTTTTCACCTCCTATCAAGAAAGCTAGTACAATTACATTTGCACTTGGCTGGAATTATGGTCACAACACCCACTCATTGGACACCTCCTCAAAACAGAAGAACACTATACACACATATTGCATGTGCTTCCTACATGTATTCCAGATAATAGAACTCTGTTCTCAAGTTGTAGTCATTGTGCTCTTTACGACTGTCAAACTTTTATACCATATCAAACTATTGACCAAGAAAACAAATGTTTTTTTATAGTGCTGATCAATCTCTGTTTTATCATTCCGGTGAATCATAATCATGACTCAACTTATTGTTGTTCATAATCTATTTATCTTCTAAATGAATTGGCTAAGGTATTCATTCATCATCATAGTATTCTACCATCTCCTATACCTGCAGTTGATTTTATTCCTCCTATTCCTCCTTCCTTTATAGAAAAATTCGTACTTTTATCACATATACAGACTTTACTAACGCTTCATTCTCAATTCAGTTCTTGCACTTATTTAGAATTCTACACTGATGGCTCATTGGTAGATCTTGGTACTCATTCAATCAGAATGGGTCTGGCTTGGCTTCAAACTGCACTGGTTTTCCCTATGCTCTCATATTCAACAGCTTTTACCTCCTCATTTCTCTCATCATCTGTTGCTGAATTAACTGTAATGTTCACTGCCATTTTGGTAGCCCCTATTAGTTGTCAAATCAAAATTTATACGGACTTTAGCAACATCATCTCAATATAACAAATACAAGCTATTGTCAGCAATTTCTCCTTTACAACAACCCTTCCTTAAGATTGTTAATATTCACATTTGGCAATGCTTATTTCAAATCATAGATGCTCTCTTGTTATCTGTGAAATTGATAAAAGTAAAAGCACATTCGGGTGATGCCTACAATAAAAAAGTTGATTAAATGGCCAAAAATTCATTAACCTCATCAGCATTAAATCTCCTTATTAACGATCAACTTCACACATCTTTATATTTTAACCATTTGGCTATTGCCTTTCCTATACGACAGTTTCTTAAACATATTTTGCGTGTAGATGTCTTTACCTCCTTTTTGAATCTGAATATTAATCACAAATATACCAGTTTGGACGTTGATTGGATTACTACATCAAAATACATCTCTGACAACATTGCTTCAAGTGCTACTTCATACGAAGCATCTATGTTAATGAAATCAAAAATACAAAGAATCCTTGAGATACTTCCTACTATAGAAATACTAAAGAAACGTCATCCACTCCTCTTTGATAGTTCTCAAAATTGCATCAGATGTGACTCTGATCCAGAGAATTTTGCTTATATATAGATATGTCCTATGATTCTGCACAAATCGCACGCTTTAGTCAACAACACAAAATTGCTTCTCGTTAATATATTACAATCTGATCACTCATTTCAACAAATTGATCAGCTCAATATCTGGTCACTTTTTTCATCAACACCAACCCAGTTCACATTTATTGACCTTATTAAAGGCATCATTCCGTTTAAATTAATACATCTGTTTAAAAAGTCGTTTAATTCTCAACATGAAACTTTCGCTGCTGTTTTCAACTTTATGCATTTTATTTTTGAACAATCTCAAGCTATCTGGAAGGATCGTTATTCAGAATTCAAAACTTTCAAATTATCTCATGATATTACAAACGCTTTAAAGCGATCTTTCATAGAATCTACAGGATACAGTTTTCCAATTTATTGTACATCCTATAATTCTAATCAACTTGTTGATACTATAGTCCGCTATGGATCTCACTGGTCAAATTTTTGGTGTAGTAGGGGCCAAGCCCTTTTTCTTTTCTAATTGCTGGAATATGATAACATGGTTTCAGTTGTGTTAGATTCTGAAAGAGTGCAGAGTCAGTCTTGATTTAAATAGTTTCATGATTATTTAAATAGAGATTTTTGTAAATTCTGATATATGTAATTTTTATTAATTATTTTTAATAAAGTTTTTGCGAATCTACCGCATTTTAAAAATAAATAAAAAAAAATAAAATAAACTGAAAAGGAAAAAAAAAAGGAAAACTCTTTCTGCTTTTTCACAAAAATGACTCGAAATACCTAAAAAAACAGTCAGCAAAATAACAACCAACAAAAAAAGTGCTTAGCGTCGCCTTTTCAAAACAACAACAACAAAAAGAAAACACCACCCAAACTTTAGAAGTTCCTCCGGAACAAAGCACTTCACAAACTGTCACTCCAGTTATTATGGATGTTGACCCAACTTCGCAAACTAAAGGCAAAGAGCTAGAAGCGTTTGATCTTTTAAAAGGATATTCTATCATTACCTCCCTCAACGTTGACGAAAGTTTTGACACGTCAGAAAACTTCTTTGACCCAAATACGCTTTCAGTCCAGGCTTTCGATAGACCTAAACCTTTGTTCCATGGTTTTTTCCCACTTGATGATTTTCCTGGAACTTCGCCGCAACATAAAGTCTCCGCAGTCATAGATCTCCTATTCGACAAATATG